GTAAAGAGAGAGCTTATTTAAGAAACATAGCAAAGAAAGAGTCCGAAAATAACCTATTTTTGGGACATTTTTTCACGCCTAGTTTCTTGTCTCTGTTATCTTGCCAATGTCAATGTGTGAAAATTGCTTAAAATGCGAGTCCACAAATTGCAGTAGTGACGTCACGGAAGCCAAATAAAGTGCGTTAATTCAAAAGTTGACTACCTCCTTGCAATAAAATCAGTGAAAGAATTTAAAACTTTCAACTTCTTCGTTTTTCTATAAAAGTATATATTACTTTAAATCTGTACAATAAATTGTACAAATTGTACACCCGGATATATTTTGGCCACGATCGCTGACCGACCTGAAATCTGAAATAATGCCGATCAGATCTTCACTTTTCGTCCGGCTTAGCCAAACAGCCATAATTCACTCTGTTTGTTTGTTTGTACATCGAGTACAGTTTGTCTTATTAACAAAAAACAAGAAGACAAACTCCTAATCGCCCTTATCTAATTAAGAATTGCCGTTTAATGGTGCTGGTTGAGAGAGGACCAATCACACAAACTGTTCGTTGCTGCTTGCTGAAAGATCAAGCAGCCGCCACGCCGCTCTGGGATCGGTTTCTGTGATATCCCTGCATAGAACCCACACATGGGTGACTCTCATTATTTTATCTAAGTCTCCATCCACCACATTGCCTTCTACATCTTTAAAAACCATCATTTGTTGCGAGGTGAAAGATATAATGAGAACAGGTCCTTGGTCCATAACTTTGCCCATTACCAGATCCACATTGTCTATATCCAAGATTTTAGACTCGATTTTGAAGCCCTTTTTATACGCCTCTTGAATGGGAATTGAAAACAGATTATATGGACCTTCATGGCACCTGAAAATATATCTTTGAAACTCTAGCGGTAAGGCCAGAAAGTAGCCAAACCTACCAGTCTTTCAGCACCTCCAAATCGCCCCTGGTCATGGCTTCGAGAATGTTGGGAATTATATCAGTTTCACACTGTTTCAAGAAGCGCTTCGTGTCGAAACTGTTATCAATCTTGCAGATTTCAGTTAAAGTCTCTGAAAGTTCAGTCTTCTGGAACAGCCCCCCCATAACATAGGCGACTTTCTCCGTTAAAACTTTTGAGGCTCTAATCACGGGGTTTTCGCTTTCCTCGAATTTCAACTTCCAGTCCATTACTTTGTGAACGTAGGGATTGTTGTCTCTGAAATAATAAAATCCTTCGTTTGGTTCCTCCGGGTATGTTTGAATGCGTAAGCTTGATTCAAATGCAAGTGCACAAAAAATGGGTACTAGTGAGTTTTGACTTCCTTAAGGAAAAGGTTTCACCGACTAATAAAAGCAATAAATGAAAAAACATACTTAAAGTTTTGCCAGGACTGATAAAACTTTGAATCCTTGTGCAATTCCACTCCTGTTGCTTCGGCGTTCGCTTCGTAGTACTTTTGATTCTGCACTGCGGAAGTTTCACTCCTTTTCCTCAGTTTTATTGGGCTGACATAGACTCGGCCTAGTATAGCGAAAAGTTGATAAATTGGGAATGCTAACTGACCAGGTTTTACCTTGCATGCTATCGCTATCCATTTCCTCCTTCACCGCTTCGGTGGCTTTGCTGATGCTCTGAAAGACACCGGTTTTGCCAATGCCTTGCGCTTTTTCCCCAATAGAATGCGTAGTTTTTGATATCCCCTCGCTGAGCTTTCCGGCTTTTTTCACTATTTCCGATTTGCCTGCCTCGTCTATCGCCTCTTGCACCTTGCCTTTGATGCTGGTTAACTTCTCCTTGAATACATCGCTGCTTTTGGACGCCTCCTTTTCCACTGACTCGAACTTCTGTCGTGCGGCTTTCAATGCATCGCTTTGCTCCAATTTTTCAGCCTCCTCTTTGAACTTTTTCAGCGACTCCTTCATCTCCTTGTTTTTGGCCATTTCGTCGCGGAAATTATCATATAGTCTGGACAGGAAGGTGGGCCGCTTTTGGGGCTCCTTGGAGTAATGGCGAAACTAGAATTTTACGTAGAAGAAATGGTAAAATTGGGGTTGTTTGGGAACTTACCCCATTCCATCCATTCCGCGCGCTTCGAGCAGCTTGGTGAATAAACAATTTGCTAATTTGATGCATTTTACCGGAAGTTGCCTTGAGGTTGCGATAATTCTTTACGATAGCTCGCACGTTTTTGATCACTGGACCTTGCTAGATAACCTCAAAATGCCCGTAGCGGATAGTGGTGAGAAAAATGGGAATTAAAGAACAATTTAACAATAAGTAACCTTTCAACTAATAGAAACTGATAAAAGTAATTGTTAAATAATCATTGTGGATATTTAGGAAAGGTTTTCACTAGATTTCTTGACGTGCGTAAATCGCACATAAAAAGCCGGAATCTGACATTTGATGTTATTACCAGTTATTACCATATTACCATAGAGTAAGTAAAATAAGAGAGATGGCAATCATATGGGCGTCCTTGTTATTTTACTTTCTCTATGGTTATTACGTAACGCGACGGTAAACTGCAATTAAATCACGCTCATCCGCCCGAATCACGAGTTTCTGCTGTTTAATGGCGAGTGCACAAAATTTATTTCTTCGATTTTTAAACCGAAAAATTGGCGATTTTCTACAAAAGAAACTTTTCCTTCACCGTTTTGTCGTATTTTCCTAACCTGAGTTTTAAGGCTTGAAACTTTCCGACGTTTACTGTCAGAGTAATTTTTAGACTTTCTCTAGGGCTTCAGGACTTTGCTTCAGCTCAGCTTCAATGGTTTGGGTACAGGTAGGACTTACATTTTTATTCTTTAACGCTTTTGAAACGGCCACCAAATACTGAAACTTCGCTGTGAAGTTTCAAGGGGGGTCATTTTCCAGTTTACCAGTCCCAACAACTAACTCTTTACTAATGACTTTTCTTAATGGTGTTTCATGTGGAAGGACGGTTTTGACCACCATTTAGTCTGCTTTTTTCTTCACCCCCAGTTTCCAAATACTTACGAGAATAAATGTATGTGAACTATTATTATTTGGTGGGCGTTTCCGCGTTTACCTGTTTACAGCCATACATTCGTTTTAATGTGGACCTTTTTATTGTTATGTAACACTGGATTAGGAGTTGTTTGCAAATCGATTGGTTAAATCGAGTCCAATCGAGCTAAATAGGTGGCAAATCGGTTTAATAAGCGACAACAATTTTGCGTTTTACTTTTCTAACGTGTTGCGCTTTCCTAGTGCAGACGTAGTCTAACAAAGAAAAAAGTACTTAATAGAATGGACCGAAAGTGGCACCACATGGAAAGTAAAGCTTCCTTTAGCGATAGCTGAACTTTCCATTCCAATACTTGTTAAATCGGGGATTTATTTGTATTACCCACTCTTAATTCTTTATGGAACGCCAGCAGAAGATCGATTTCAATCAACTGTCGCCCTACAATTAAATTTTCACCTTGTCTAATTTTAGACCTTTTCCAGAATCCAGATTGACTCTTTAATATTCATAAGCTGAAGCGAATGGGAAGCTGGAGTTCATTCATACTTCCCTGCCATCCAATTTATATTTAATTGGTCGGGATATTTATATATTTTCATTGGATGCCAGCCATTCCTCCTTCTAAATATATAAGTATTTATCAAGGAAATTGGGGATAAAAAAACGTATGTGTTTTACGACAGTGTGACAATATATTTATGCAATAATCTAATACATATCACGCCCGCATTAATCTAGGCCATATCTACAAAAATGGGAGAATCATAATAAACTTTGCATGTAATCATTCTCTGACTTAGTCGTAACTTTTACAAATGGAAAAATCAAAATATACATATACTAGCCGGTTAGTGTCTAAGAAAATAAATAGCTTCTACTCAAGGTGTACTTTGCACATTAGCGAAAATATTTGGACGAGAGCCCCTAATAGCTAAGCAGCCACATTTATTTAAGAATAAATAAAATTTAGTTTAATTAATATACAATTTGTAATGCCACTTTTCAGAGCTACTGGAAGATAGTTATTTACAATAATAATTATTGAGACAATAAATTATGCGCGTAATTACAAATGTTGGAGCACCAACCGATCTATTGTTTCCCTGTGAGAAACATCGGCTGATGACAGAGTTGAAAATAATTCAGAAATCCTTACTTTTATCAAGTTGTGTTGGTTGATTGAAAGAACCCATACTCTCGAGAGTTTCCTGAAGGACCTTCAACTCCAAATCCCCTCTTAACATAAGCACTTAAAAATAAAGTCAAGGAACAATAGAACATTCAACAGCAAATATTATCTGATTATATTACAACACATAAATCAGAAATACGTGCATTTCGTAACTTCGCGTATTACTTTACAACGGATTTTAACACTTTACTAATGAATACTTTGTGCAAATCAATAGTATTTTTTGCCTTTAAGAGTGTCAAGTAGAAGATAATAAATTTAAAATCTTCTAAACGACGCGTTCGATCTTCCTCTAACTCGGGATACTCAATCACTAGGTTTTTTTAAAACGATATACGTTGGTTACGGTATACGGTTGGGAAAATGCCTAGTTTTGGGCTTTATTTTCTTCGATGTAGACATTTCCTTTCGGCTTAGAGCTGCTATTTTTCTCGTCCTCTTTTCTCACTGCAAGAAAAAATCCTTTAGTTGAATGGAAAAACGATACCACAAAAGTTAGATAATAATTTGAGTGATAAACTGGTGAAGGATTTCATAATTTCAGTGTCCTTAGTACTCGTAATGCGCTAAATATTTCAATTGTGAAATATGCCTGACATTTACCATGTGATTTCTAATGGAAGTACATGAGGTAATATCTTGGGAAATTCCTTGATCTAGTTAATACTTTTTACGTATTTAGTTGCCTCCAACCAGCGTTAATAAAAGAAAATGGAAAACACTGTGCACTTTGCTGTTTATTATTTTCAGCAAAAGAAACATTTTTCTAGCACACTTAAGAAACATATTTTAAAACATTTTGGCTACGATCTTTGTGTAGACAGGAATCATTTGCTGCCTTAGATCAAAGCTTTAAAAAAAGGGCAATGAGACTACAGGTAAAATGTTATATTTATTATTTACCCTGTAGACGGTTCCGTTAAATTCAAAAGAGTGCTCGCAAAGTCAGGAAGTACGCGTTTTGCGTAATTAGCATCACTCCGAAATAACTCAGCTTTACTTTTGGGTCATATAATACTTTCAACTGCTTCCTGTATCCAAAACAGAGTACGATTTTAGAACTATTTTTTCCAGTTTTCTAGCCCTCCGATCAGTTAGGCTCCGCAATAATTGGAAACAATGGAAAAATCCCTCCCAAAGAGCGGATATGTAGGAAATTTTGGTGTAGGATGCAATAAAATATGAAAATGTAGTCGCTCGAAGAATGTATCAAAACTTTTCTAATACGTGACTTATTTAGGATGTCATTAAGCAATAGACACGTTCAATATGGTACCATTTGATGCCTTCATGGTTCTTTTTCGTGAACCTTTAATTAAGAGCTAAGACTCGCATATAAATTAGTCAACACTATGAGTTGATTAATTGATAACTGTCGCGAAGAATAGAAAGAACTCGAGAATTTTTTTAGAATCGAGTGTTGTACTGTACAAAATGGGTTCCTTTTGTCAATTAATGCATCGAAATCTTCTAATTTGGTTAATAGAACCCGAGTTTTGGAAGAAAAAGTGCATGTTTTCTTGTGTTTTGAATAGTAGATAAATGTTGTTCTGTAATTTTAAAAAAATTAGTGTTTTGCAGATTTACTGAAAATAAGTTTATAAAGTGAGATTATGGGGCATTGCTTTATATATTTATTAAGTGTTTGCATCCTTCCATTTGGCCACGATTGCAATTTGTAAATGTTTCAACACAAGAGGGAACATTCAGGACTTTCTAAATTTTCAACAAACCAAACCAAAGCTCTGAATAGGTTTAAATTTGCTGCACCTTATAACTAGGGGTTCTTCTATAAATATCCAAAATTACAGCCTTAAGTGTCTAGAAGTTTGCGAGATGTGAATTTTTAACCACAAGCATTTACATTTGAGACTAAGTATTTCCTGATTGCATCACTTCTTCAAAAAATTCCTGGCACATAGTTGCGAGCTGTAAATTCATTGATATTTTGTACGGTCAATAAGTTAAATAAGTAAATCTTCTTTCATATCTTCTTCATATCCAAAATTTCGGCCTCAAATTTGGTCAAATTTGATAGTTGCGAATTTTTAACCATAAGCGTGTCTGAGGACCACAAAATACAAAAAAATTGCTTTGAACTGAAGCATAGCTGTGAATCGATTCTCATTTGGAAGGGTCAATAAGTTACCTAAAGTTTCATCTACAATTAGGTAAAATCGCAGCTGTTCATTTTGCCAAGTTTGCGAGTTGGGAATGTTTATCCAGAAGGGTGCACTCGGAGAAAATTTTTATTTTTATTTAACAATAATCTGCAACGTTTCAAAAAATGCCGCAAATGCAGAACCAATTTAATTCTAGCAATAATTTGAAGCATTAAAGAGCGAAAACCTCCAGGAGTCCAAAAAAAGGGAATTTAAATTACAATGCAGAGCGGAACTAAACATAAAAGTGCGGACATAAATAGGGCGTAAAATAAGGAATTATTTTAGTAACTGGTGAAATAGATGAAGCTCAAACAAAATGTAAATCAAGTCGCTGGTTATAAAATTACTGAATATTTTGTAAAAGCTCGCAGCTAAATAGCTGATCCAGAATTAATTTGGACTGGACAAAAAAAGTTCGATTCCGTTCCAGCATTTCGGCGGCTTCCTCAATGAGCGTTGCTGGCATTTTTCGGGATTCTTGCACTTTCAGTCGCGCCAATAAAAATGAAGCGTCCCCGTTCCCGTCTAAATGCTCTGTAAAAGAGTTCTTGTCGCATATCATTGCGCTGGAAGTTAATTTTGCTTTTACCAGAAAACACACACTAATCTACTTTGCTTAGTATTGCACCCTAATCATATCTTGAGCCTTTTGAGCCACATCCCTTAAGACGTCATAACAACGCATTCAAGTCCCGTCTACAGTAATTATTCTGGAGCTTTTCGGGCATATGTTTTCGGTTTTTTGTCGGGGTTTGTTTAGAATAGCATTACCGCTGAGCAGTTGTTCCAAGTAAACACATCTGGTGTCGAGATAATTCTGGTCGGTTGCAGATGAACTACCCATCACAAACCCTGTACCCTCGCTTTCGAGAAATTCGCATTTCTCCGTCGATGTAGCCGCCATTAAGGAGAGACGAGCTGAAAGTTCCTCCACATCTGCAACACAAAAAAAAGTTGCTAAGTGCATGCAGTTGAAATTTGAATAATTTAATTGCGTTGTTACTTTGGTACGCTATGAATTTTGAGCACTTTAAGGCCTGATTTAAATTCATCCGGAAGTTGCTTGCGTCAAAAGTTGTAATGAGGACTAGAGAGAAAATTTTAATGGTAAGCAAGAAGGTTCTCCATTCCTGTTGCTGTAGATGTTTGGACGGTTGAAAGTCACCCACAAGGTGCCTTCTAAATCAATTAAAATCACGAAGCACTCCATAAAAGAAAATGAAATTCATTGATTAGAAAATGATTATTCGACGCAATGCTTCAGCAGTTTGCAAACCGTATTGATTATTATTAATGTCGATTGATTGGAACGTGATTTACGATTAATTGATTTCATTTTATTAGTGTTCTTGCTCGATTATGGCCAACCGTCTATGAAAAACGCTTCTAGAAATAGACACTAATTAAAGCTCGGTTTGTATTGAATTCGCGAAATTGGATATCAATAAGCAGAAGCCGACAGCAGGCAATTTCCAGTCTTATTCTGGTTTATAGCGCTATAAGTATTAGGTGGCAAAGAGGATGATTTATCGGAGTTTCTCATCCGATCGATGCTGCTAACAAATTAAAATTCCGATATTGAAATGTTCCTCCAACAGCCTCAATCTGGCTGGGTGATTGATGCTTTTTGCTTAACCTACGCGAAACGTTTTTCCAAACTGTTGTTTTAGGAACATGAAAGGAATTAATGGAATTTACCAAAACTCTATTCACTAGAGCGAGAAAAAATCTGTTTTGAATAAAAGGAAATACTGATGCCGATGTCTTCTTATGTTAATATGTTGCGGCCTTTCAAGGCAAGACTTTTCAACGAACCGAACCGATCGCATCTGATCATGAATTTCCTACGGTTGCGAATGAATCCCGCGTGCATTTTGATTGGGCCCATACATGACAAAAATAAATTACCGAAAAATGGTAGACTGTTATTTCTGCGAATGAAAATATGTGTGAAAAACTGTCCGTCGACTTGTTTACTGGCATAGATTCCAGTCGGAACGGCTAACCTACAAAGAGTTTATGTAATTTGCTTTTAATGAGCGGAATTTTAATTAGCAACTGTTCATTGAAGAGCTGGGATTTTGGGGAAGAAACTGATGAAAATTTGCTGGGTTTTTCAATTGGTTTTATTAAAAATTATTGTTGTGATGCTTTATTCTTAAACCTTTATTGCTTTCAAAAATCAGCGGCCTTTAATAGCAGAAAGCATGAGATACAGTAATTACTTCACTTTTTCTGAGGTATTGATGAATAGTGCCTCAAAACGCTATTGGGATTCTAAATAGTACTTAAATTAGCGGACTAAGACGGTGGCGATTTTAATCGGCTGAAAATAGTTTGTGTCGCCACTTTCTTAATGAAGAAAGAAGACACACCAAATGATCAGCCAACAAAAATTTCAAAATTTCGCTTCTTAATTTTTTTTGCACCCAACCGTTTTCTGGAAAATCATATTTTATTCAATGATCCAGATCAGCAGCTTGCAAATGTGCTCAATAACACGCCCGTCAAAAATGGAACCTGGTTTTTTAAACACTCTGTATCTTGGGCTTTTATTAAACGGCTGCAGATTGAAGTAATTGGAATTTTTCATAAGAAACTTAATTGCTTTTACTTTTTGTATGCTAATCAAAGTCGAGAATAATTTTTATGTTTATTCACTTTGCAACCTATTCTGAATTATTGCTTGCGTAATAAAATGTACACGAATGCTAAGCAGCAAAACAATTTTTTTAGTGTAAACTGTGGATGAATCTTCACTTGGACGCAATGTGATTAAAGATTTTTCAAAACTTCTGAAAAATAGAGCAGCTGCTACGACTGGGAAAAATAATCCACAAAAAAAAAGTCTACTAAAAAAATTATAATTTCCGCTTCGAGACTACTATCGCATTGACTACTTTCCCCGAGTGTAAACAATAAGTTAGGTTTTCCTCAGATTCAATTTGAATAAAATTCAAGCTTCGACTGGGTTTTGAGAAGATTGATCAAAATTGAGGCCGGTGATACGACAAATGAAAAAACGAGCGCACGTCTACAAATTGAGGACCGCGTTGCAACTTTTTGTCGCTATAACAATGAATGAGGCTGAAATTTGAGCAAAACTCCAGCTGAGGCTAATTTTTGAGAAATTTCCAAAATTGAGGCTGCTATGTAACGGTGGCAAATCGCGCAAGTTTAATCAGAAAAATTGCAATTTATAATCCGCCAGGACTAAAGAGTTGAAACTTTTGTAAAATTTGAGTAAAATGCGAGCTGAGGCTGATTTTTGTTGAGAAGCACGCAAATTTAAGGCTTCTGACACGTAAGTTTAAAAAAAAATCGGTTCGGTTTTCCTGATTTCATTGAATTCCTTTTTACATTTTATATTTTATTTTAGGCCTTTGTAGAAAACATCGCCTGAATCTTCTTGTTACAACGCATATAATGATTTCATGGACAAGGTTTTGGTTTCAAGTCGGAAATCGAAAAATGTTGAGTTTAAGGGAAAAACATTGATTAAAGCGATTCGTGTTAGATTTTAACAGGACGATTATTTCTTAGTTTTTCTCAGTATGGGCTGAGTTTAAATTTTTTCATTCATTTCGCTTTTAGCTGTGAACTTTGACTTTATTTAAAATTGAAAATTTAATAAATCACTTATAAAATTTTTAAAAAATTCCAAGAACAACGCATCCAAACAACAAAATTCGAGGAAAGCTGCAAAATTGTATCTCGTTTCTGAACAGTCCAATTTACATACATCCTTGGCAAAGAGCTTCTTGAATTTTTATTTGATTATTACTTAGTTCCTCGAATGGTCGGGTTTGTATCTAAGCGCGTGATCAGTTTGGGAAAATATTCAGTAATCTTCTTGGTCTTTATCAATCGCTTTTAAGCACTACGTGGTCTTAGACAACGTAATGTGCATTTATTTGAAAATGCAAAAGTTTTCAAATTTGCTTCCACAATATTTGCAGTAAGAGTCAATGGGTACTAAGATTAAAGTAGAACACTTGAGGAGAAGTATAAAAACAGTTTCGGAAATAAACGTTTGATTGAACATCGATTGAAACTGCTTCACGACTGAACGGTTTGCTGCGCCTTCGCGGATTAATTTTAGAAAAACCATAGAAAATCACGGAATTGGTTTTGTAATGGAGTTATTATTGAAATTGGTCTTTTTGTGGCTTTACGTGCCGAACGTGTCGTAAACCGAAGGCTTTGACCAATAAATCAATAATTTCTATTGAATTGAAAATTTGCAAATTTCCTCATTAAAATGCACAAAGAGAAACAGTTTAGCTGTCTACCACAACACATGTATATCGTGCAAAGACCTATTTATTAAATAATTGTTCAACCACAATGAAAACCGCAAGACACATGTCCCATAACGTATTGTTTAGCTTTGTAATTGTTGTTAACTATCACATCCTTACATGTATTTGTTCAAAAACAGCCAGCCCGTCATTAGCTTTATTAATTCCTATTGTTTAAGCAGCGTGTTTGCATCTTATTTATTAATTTAAATAATTAATTTGACCTAGACACGCTTCATTAGATGGGTGTTTCACTGTGGCAATTTCGTTCAGTTATGCATTTATACTGCAAGTAGAGCACCTTTGGGTCAAATAAATCGCCGATTGGATTAACCAGTTAACGGGATCTGAAGAATATTAATAATTATTAAAGAAACCCTACCTGAGCCGGCAATACTAACAAGTGACAAAACAACTTCGAGAATCGATTAAAATTGCCATTAATCAACTTCAAACAAAGTTAAGCCAGAAAAGAGGTCTTCTTTTATACTTTTATATCAATCAAGGTTTCCCTTTATACCGTTTACACCCAAATAAATTGTTCTTTGAATTTAATTTGCAAAAACTGGCTAAACCAGGTTGAATGCAGAATTTAATATACCTAAATAAAATGTAAATAGAAAACTGAAAAATCGCCCGCACTTAACAGCGTGGAAAACCACAGCAAATCCGAATCAAAATTCGATTTTCAGCGAACTAAAAATAAAAAACCCAAACATAAATATAAAAATGAATTATGGCTGTTGGTTTCCGTCTGATGATGTTTTAATGGTCTACCTGGCTGCAGGGCCGGATATTTGCGTTTGTATCAATTTACTTTCCTAAATTATTTTTTCAACTCGTACCAAAAGCAGGTTTCGAGTTTTAATATTCTGATCGCCTTGCTCGATTGATTTATGCCAAACAACTGGTCGACGTATCTACCCTCCGAAAAATTGCAATTTTTGTATCTTGGTTTAAGTTTCCATACAGCCCAAGTTGCCTACGACGAGTTTTTTTTCATATGGCAACTCAATCAATATCGACACTTCCTCTTTGTCGGCGAGGCCATGAAAATACGTGGTCGGATTAACAATTAGCCACTGGATTCTAGTCGGAAGTCTGCATGACATTATTTGTTATTTACACATAGCTCGGTTCCAACTTTATGCTATTCTATAAAGAAAATTGGCATCCCTCGGACAAAGAATGAAAAAAAACAAATTCTGTACGGTATAGAAGATACTTTCAAAGTACGGAAATAGGCATCAAAAGCATCAAATCGCTGATTAACCATCACAACTTACCCGTTGATTTTGAAAGAGTTAGTTGGCATTTTATTCCAAAATGCAATTTTCTGGATATTGACTTGAAGCAACGACAAGTACGCAACTTACCACTTCCTAATAATAAGTTGATTACCATGGGAGGCAGCCAACGTTAAATGCGCTTTACGACAAAATTATGCATTTGAAAATCGCCTAAGTAGTTTCTTGACTGCGATGAAGAGAAAATGAACTGTTGATGGCTATATTGTCGCGACTGTGGAAATAACTTAAAATGTGTAAAATCCTAAAAAAATTGCTAATAAATGAGCACTCTGTTTCCAATCTAGTTACTCGCCTACCGTGCTTTGCCGCTGTTATGTCCTGCAAG